ACAATTATTAATCTCCAGTGATTAATTAACATTGAAAAAATAACCTTTTGTTATAAATTCATCACCTTGACAGTTGAATTAAGGTATTAAATAAAGCTGTCAAACAATTAAAAATTTGATTGTGATTAGTTGCATGATTTAAAAAATCAGTCACAACTAATAGTCATTTAAATCGCACAGCTACAAACTCAAAATTATGCGCAGAAAAACTCAAAATTATTGCAGGTACTTTGTATGGTTGGGGGGTGTGTGTGTGTGTGTGTGTGTTAACATGTCAATGTACCTAGGAAGAGCAAGAGCAATTTCCTGCTGTTAATACAATTCAGCCTTTCCTCTTGGATAGTTTGGTCTTCTGGGAAAGATTCCGTTATTTAGCTGACACATGGGGACAGACTGTAACTTGCACCATAAATATATTTTAAGTGCAACAATGTCAACGATGCAAGACACTGTAGTGAAGGGAATTAGTACAACACATACCAGGCAGATTCTCCATTGCCTTGAGCCCCGCATATTGGCCTCCAAATAGCTCAATATTTTGTAGCTTACATTATCCATGAGAGAGAGAAGTTCATATTTGTGATCATGTGTTTAAGCTTATAAGCAACCTAACTTTCAAGCTACAAATACCAACCCTTTATCACTACTAATCTTCCCATTAAATGTATTTCATTGATGACCCATTCAGAAAGTAAAATTTGCCTCAAAGTACTGGCTTTGAATTTTATCTAAGACTGTTTATACTCTGGAGTTCCACTTCTGTTCAAAATTGCTGTATTCCCCTTAATCCCATTCATTACTAAAAATCACATTTACATTTTTTTTAGTTGAAAGTCTTCATGAGATGCTATATTTTTACCATTATCATTGCTTATCCATGTATCCAAAAAGTAGCAGATCCCACACAGACATAAAACACTCAAGTCCACTCCCCAAAATAAATAAATGTAATGGTCTTTACATAATAATTTATGTAATATTTATTCCTAACTTGAATTTCTATAGTTATTTTCATTGTTGCCAAAACTCCTTCAGAATCTAAAATAGTTAAGAGTCATCATAATAAGGTAGATAATTACTGCCATATGCTCAAGATGAGCAAGCCAAGGCACAGAGAGTATAAAAGGTTTTTCTAGGGTCAGAGAATGATATAGCAACTCAAGCAGCAATGTTGAAAGGTTATTGACTTTCTGAAGAAAGATAATGTGTGTGTACTTCTCCACTTTCATCATGCAATTCTCAGATCAAAAAGATCATTCAAATTAAATTCTAAAGCCTTGATAAAATACTTTATTTCATGCTAATAACTTTATTATAGTAGGGATGTGAGAGAGAGATAAGAGAAGAGTCAAAACACTAATTAACTTACCAAATTCCAAGGATAACAGCAAGCTCTTCTGCCAATAAATCAGGTATTTGGTACTGATTACTATCTGCTAACTTTATCTCATTTAGGACTGTATCATCATTTAAATCATAATTCTGTTGAAAAAGATGCATATTTTTACAAGAATGGTCAAATCATGACAATAACAATGTTAAGCGTATTTTGTAGAGCCTAATACATGCATACACCTATTTAATTATTTGCAAGTGGAATGCAGGCAGAATTTTGTAGTACAGATTTTTAGGTGCTAAGTCAATCCCTTCATATTTTGTTGATAAGGGCAAGGATTCTGCCTAGTCACATTTACCTCACATCTCTTCAGAATCCACATATACTAGACACTGAGAATAACATGCTTTGAATACAAATGCTTCTTTGAACAATGGTTTCCCCTTAGTATCTCAAAAGTACTTCTGCACAGAGTTCTGTTACTAGTACATTTTATAGGATTTTGTAGATGACAAATTCAGTAGTTATCTTTTTACTACTTGTTTTAATATAGTTCAAATATTAAGGTAGCTTTCCAGTAGGAGTATCTGGGGCAAAAAAAACCCCACCGATGTAAGATGAAAAATGATAAAGGAAAATGATAAAATTACTAATTGCAATAGTGGGAAACTGGACTTAACCCAAAAGATCCCTTCCAGCCCTATACTTTCTCCAAAGTGACAGTTGTGCTTTCTTTAAAACAGGATGGGTTTGATTTACATCAAATCGATTTAAATCATGATTTACATCAAATCTATTTAAAACATGATTTAAATCACTGGTCAGGAAGCCTTGATTTAATCACTGTTTGATACAAAAGGTGCATTCTTGTTGTTTGATATAACCTTCATACATATTATTCACAACTCAGAGACAAATGTAGGTTTCATTTTTAGTAGGTACACACTATACACTTTAAAGCAGTGATTTATTTTGATATTTTTCAGATTAATTTTGCACCTATATCAGAAAACTGAATTATGATTTGGTTATTTTATTTACCAAAGCTAATTGAAGCAGATACTTGTGAAGTCATTGGGAGGCACACTATGTCCAATTCACTAGATCTATCATGGATATTTGGGAGATGTTTTCACTACGCTGTATAAAGAGGGCATCAAATGAGCACTGCAGCCATATGTTATTAGCTTAGGGCTTTCTTCACTTTCTTCCAGATTTCTTCTCATCTTTGATTTCTTCTCTCTTCCTTGGCCTTGTAAGCCTACTGTTGTGACTGGTTTTCCCTTCTACCATACCATTCCCTCACCAGATCTCAAATCAATGGAGAGGCTATACTCAGAAACTGAACCCCATAATATTGAGCTCCTAACGTAGTCCATGACCTGTTGTGACTTGTTTATAAAACTTCTCTAAAAAGGTTACATGAATAGATTGTCTCAAATAGTATATAATTAGAAGTTGTAATCTCTATTCCATGATAATATCTTTGAACTTTAACACATCTTAAATTAAAACTATCTTTATATAGGTTGTTTTTTTAAAGCATCTTAACAAAAAATAAAAAATACCATTAAATAAAAAAGGATTTAAAAATCCTTTAAAAAAGTCATTGATTTTTATCCACCCTGCTTTAAAACATTTCTAAATTAAAGAATAGCACTATGCAATGTTAAAGATTAATAATAAAACATGTAATAAGATCCGGGTGCATCTAGGACTGATTTAAAAGGTTCAGTTCTAACCAAGTTTCCACTCATGGTTGTTTCATTGTAACAACTTCAGCTGTATGTCTGTCCATGTGAAGGTCTTTTTCTTTTCAATAGCAGACATACTATACAGGATGTCCTCGACTTGCAACGTTTCGAGTTACAACGTTTTGCACTTACAACATTTATTAACTGACACCGTTTCAATGTTGACGTCAGTTTCGACTTTACAATGCTTGATCCGACGCAACGCCACATCAGCAAACAAGTTTGCTGCGTCACCCATCTCCCTGGAGAACACCTGTCCAAACTTCCTTGGACAATTTCTTTAAAAAAGCAGAAGACAAGCCTCCAGAAAAACCTGCAGCCAAGACTCCTGAGAAGACTCCAGCCAAGAACCCTTCAAAAAGTCCAACCAAAAGCCCTTCAAAAAGTCCAGCAAAGTCCCAAGAGCCCTTCAAAAAGTCCAGCAAAGTCACATCAAAGAACTCCTTCCAAATCGATGATTGCTTTTTACAATATAAATACATTAATATAGCTATATTACTCATCTATAATTGATTGAGTTAATCAAAATTCTGGGTTATTTTTGGTTCAGGGCCTTGGTTCAGGAAGCAATCCCCCATTTATAACATTGTTTCCTATGGGAAAATCGGTTCCGAGTTACATTTCGACTTAAGATGCGGTTTTCAGGAACCAATTGTGTCGTAAGTCCAAGGACTGCTTGTATTTCATTCTAACCCAACCAGATTGAAAACAAAATGAACCAATTTTGCTCAATTTTTTAAAAAATGGTGCCAGAGACCAAGCAGAAAACTGAATTTTACAGAAAGACATGAATAACTGGAGAACAAGATTACATAATATTTTTATTGTGAATTCCTAAATACAGAGGTACATATTATGCCAGGGGCGGGCAATTATTTTGGGCAGAAGGCCGCTTACTGAGTTTTGGCAAACCCTTTGAGGGCTGCATGACAGGCAGCCCAGAGCAGATTAATATTAATTTTCTAATTTTTTTAGGGGCCCTGGAGGCTGGATAGAATGGCCTGGCGGGCCACATCCAGCCCCCAGGCCACATTTTGCCCACCCCTGTGTTATGCCCTGCTATGTAAGTGACCTGCAACCTATACATACAACCAAACTCTATACTTCTGCAGCCAAATAGCTTTCCCTGAATTCCCACTGGCTGTTATTCTCCTAAAATATGCATCATATTTTCAGACTCACATTATGAATATTAATATATAAAACACTATGCATCCACTAGCATAAGTCACTTACGACAGCCATACTTCTAATTTGTTTAGACTTCTTAAATAGATATAAGGGTACGCATCATCAAAGATTTGTTAAGTGTTTTATTCAAGTTTCCCAGTTTTTCTACGATTGTATAATTGCTATGTAGCCCTTGAAGCTCATAGCTTCTTTGGAAGAATATGTGCTCAGGCTCCTTCAACTCTGAAACCTAGCCTTTGGACTACAGAAACCCAGCCTGTCTCCCTGGTCCCACCAAGAGTTGAGTTAGCTGGCATTCTGGAGGGCGCTTACCTTCACAAAGAAATAATGAAAACAGAACTAACTGCAGCAATGTGAGCAGCCTTTCCAAAACAAGGCAGCATTTATTAGTCAACTAGAATACAGCATGAAGAGTCCTTAAATCAGCATGGCCAAGCTGATCTTAAAGATCCTAGAAGTCCTATATTTAATTTGCCCAACAGACCAGATTTTCTTAAGACCTGTTCCTCTGTCAGACCTTGGATGCCTATCACTGTGTCCCTGAGTCTGGCTACAGGCAAAATTAAATTGCCTCCTTAGACTTGGGTTTGTCTTTTGCAAGCCCAGTGGTTCCTCCTGCTCATTAAAAATTAAAATGTGCGGCTGTTGATTTAACCAAATTGCTCCTTAGATGGATAGCCGTTCTGCCCCTGATAGGCCTTTTAGAGCCAACCTGGACACTTGCATGCTGTTCAATTTCATCTTTGTTGATCCTTAGAAGTTAACTCATTTGCATTTATGGGGTATGTCTACACATGCGGCCCTATTAGTGCACAGTAAACTAATAAAAGCTGCCATACATTAATACATGTAAGCACAAGTACTATTCTATGGTGGTGTCATTTAGTGAACTGCAATGCACATGTAGATGCTGATGGGGCTAGCTAGTGCCTCAGTATGCAGACTGCCTGACAACTAGCCCCACAATGAAGCACCCTTGTGCCCCAGCCAGCCCCTGCGCAGCATGTTGAGGTGGGTCAGAGCAAACCCCAAGCTGTCAGGCTGACCTCCCATGTCTCCTGCCAGCCGGGGCTGCTTGAACCCAGCTCAATGTGCTGCAGTCCTGGGCACATGTGTAAACGCAGCACCCAGGAGCCTTAAACTCCAGTGTGAACTGTACCACTAATAGCACGTGTAGACGCGCCCAGGAAGTTGCACTATATCGGAAGGTGGAAAACCGAGGTACATATAAAAATGTAAGAAAAATTCCCTACGTTTTCAATACCCATCCTAACCTTAGTCTGTGCCTTACAAAAAACAACTAATGCCCCAAAAACAGTTCTTGTCAAAGAAATCTTAGTTAATCAATATGCCTACACTAACTACACCCCCAGTTCCCTTCCTCAATACCCCCAAAAAAGAAAGAGAAACTTTACCCTCTGTTCATAACATGGGTTTTGAAATCCTGAATTATAAAATAATAACTGTTTTCAAATACATACCTTTGTTAAATTTTCTAGGGGAGTAGGTATAGGGCTAAGTTCAAGGTGAGGAGGGGAGACACCATCTTTTCTTTGGACATCAAGAATAAGCTGGGCTACAAACTTTTCCTGAAATCGTGTCCTTTTTCCCAAAGCACCTATAGAGAAAATAAGATATGGTAGTTGACCCATTAAGAAGAAGGAGTTCTGCACCCCCACTAGAAAAAATAGTTACTTATGAGCTTCAAAAAAAACTCAGAAACAATTAAAAACTAAGTTGCAAAATCCAGGAGTAATTTGCTTTTACTAGAGCTGTGTGATGAATAACAAGCTTCTTTACTGTTTAATAATGGTATATTTATATAGTTTTACTAAAGGGAATAAATCTATAGTTTTTTTATTTTAAAAGGCACATTATTTAAGATTCAAAACTTACTTCTGAAAATCATTACATTACATCCTGTTCTTATTTAAAAAAAAAATCACAGAGTTGTTTAATTTGATTTTTAAAAACTGAACCTCTACAAACAAGAATACTGTTCTCATTTATTAAAACAGAATACTTCAAGGAGCACTAAAGGGCCAAATTTTCAAACTTGGCTGCCTAATGTTATGTTCTGTATCTCTGAACAAATATTTGTTTGTTAAAAATCATGCTATGGATTCCAAAGTTAAAGTGCTTGGCATCTACGACCCTGGCTAACCTCAACAGGAGGGATAAGCAGTAGGAAAGTCTGAAAAAATAAGGTTAAGGTAGAAATATTGGCACTAATCCCATTTACCTAATCTATTATTGCGTTTATTTTCAGTTTAAGGACATACCATTTTTTCAGGACAACAATAACCTGCCTGGTTCATAGTGAAAATGGAGAACTAAGGAACAGAAGAAACAATATAAAGGTAATGAGAGAGTTTCAGGCTACCTAGGTTTATTCATGTCTTTTCCCCTACATTTTATTACTATAATTTTATATGCTCACATTCACCAATTCCCTTGCTCAGAGCTATGCTAGGAAAGTGTCAGCAATTACATTTCATTACTATATTTACTTAATATAAGATGACCCCAAATACAGGTTGTTTATAAAGTCCTCATGCAACTTTAATAACTATGGATGTACATGGAAGCAAACTGTAAAAAGTGATTGCAAGCATAATTCATTGTTTTAACACAATACAGCATAAATTTCTAGACTTCAACATAACTGCTATCTTTTGTGATACATCATTCAGTCCAATTTTCCAACTCCCTAGTTTTTTGTCCAAGTTTCCACTTCTTACAAGCTTCCTTTTTGTGATTTAGCTTACTGAAGAGTTCCCTGCTAAGCCAAGCTGGTCTTCTGCTGTACTTATTAGGGCTGTGTGAAGCTTCAGGTGGTGATTCAACTCGGAGATCTGGCCTGATTTGGTGGCCAAATCTCCAAATCCAAATCAAATTGGGGAATCAATAAAAAAGTCTGAATCAATTCGAAGCTCTCTGAAACTTTGGGAAAGATTCAGAGAGCTTCGATGATTCAGGCAGTCCCCACCCTCTGCAGCAGGGAGCTGGAGCCAGACTTGGAGCTGGTAAGCAGGGGGTGGAGGAGAGGGGGGCTGGAGGAGGGGCAGGGCACCATGGGGAGACCTCCGCCAGGCCTGACCCCCTGCCTGCTGCCCCAGGCCCCCCAGCTCCCCCACCCGTCCCAGCTCCAAGCGTTTTAAAAAGAAGCCTCCACTCACTGGGTGCTGCCAGGTAGGGGGGGTGAATCCCACTGCCCCATGCTACGAGCCCCCATGGCTGCCATGAGCCCCCTGACCCCCCATGCTCTCCTAGGCCCCCATGGCTGCGCCACACATCCCAGCTCCAGCCCTTTAAAAAAAAAATAGAAATAACCTCCTGGACTTACCAGCTCCTTCAGTGGCCTTGGGACTTTGGTGCACTTGTGCAAGAGCCCCTCACGTGGTGGGGGGCAGTGGGCGGCAGCAGGGATCACCCATCTCTGAGCAGGAACCGGTAAGTCTGGGATTTTTTTTTTCTTAAAGGGTTGGAGCTGGGGCAGGCAGGGCAGCCATGGTGGGGGGGCTAGGGGAGCAGGTGGGGATCAGGGGGCTAGCACAGAGTCCTCCATGCAGTGTGGTGCAGCGGGGGGCAGTGCGGATCGCCACCCACCCAGCAGCACCCAGTGAGTTGGGGCTTTTTTTTTTTCCCCAAAGTGCCAGGAGTTTGGGCAGGCAGAGCAGCCACTGCTGGGACTAGGAGAGCAGGCAGGGGATGGGGCCTGTGTGCTTCAGAGATTCAGCAGCAGTCGAATCATCAACTCAGATTTGGCTGAATTGATTCGGGACAGTGACTGGAATCACCAATTCCAATCACTGTCCCCTGAATCAGCCGAATCCAAAGCGAATACTAGCCACTTCGCACAGGCCTACTACTTATTAGTCTTCCTGTGCATCAGGATGGTTTGTTCCTGCACTTTCAGTAAGCTCTCCTGGACTCCTGTCCCCCTCAGACTGGCTTTTCAGGGAATCCTACCCATGAGCTGCCCAAGTGAGTCAGAGTCTGCTTTTCTGAAGTCCAGTGTCTCTACTCTGCTGCTCTCCTTCCTTCCTTCCCTCCCTCAGGATACTGAACTTAATCACCTGATGGTCACTGCTGCCCAAGTTGCCATCCACTTCTACATTCCCCACTAATTCTTCCCTGTTTGTGAGCAGCAGGTCAAAAAGATCACAGCCCCTAGTTGGCTGCTCCAGCACTTGCACCAGGAAGTTGCCCCCAACACTCTCCAAAAACTTCCTCGATTGCCTGCGCACTGCTGTATTGCCCTCCTAGCAGACATTAGAGTGATTGAAGTCCCCCATGAAAACCAGGGTTTGTGATCAGGAAACTTCAGCTAGCTGTTTGAAGAAAGCTTCATCCAGCACTTTCTCCTGGTCTGGTGGTCTATAGCAGACCCTCACCACGACATCACCCTTGTTGCTCTCCCCTCTGACCCTAACCCAGAGACTTTCAACAGGTCTATCTCCAGTTTCATACTGGAGCTCTAAGGAATCATATGATTCTTTTACATGAAATGTAACTCCTCCTTCCCTTCTTCTTTGTCTGTCCTTCCTGAATGGTTTATATCCATCTATGACAGTGCTCCAGTCATGTCAGCTCCGCCTTAGTCTCTGTTATTCCAGTCACATCATAGTTCCATGACTGTGCAAGGGCTTCCAGTTCTTTCTGCTTGTTTCCCAGGCTCCATGCATTCATAGACAGACACCTGAGGTAGCTAGTCAACTTCCCTGATTTCTCAGAAAGTGTAAGAACACCTCTCCTGTTGTGACACCGCTCACTTTCTCCTTTACCTCAAGGCTTTGGTCTCCATCCCCTAGCAAACCTTTTTAAAGGCCTAACTAGGGCTAGTAGTTTATAGCCCTAAATCTTAAAATGGAAACCTCATTATTGGACACTAGGCCTGGGAATTAGTTTAGAATTTATAGTTTCATAGTAGTTTCATAGTTTCTAGGGTCGGAAGGCACCTGAGCAGATCATCTAGTCCGACCCCCTGCCATGGCAGGAAGAGCACTGGGGTCAAATGACCCCAGCAAGGTGGTCATCCAACCTCCTCTTAAAAACCCCCAGGGTGGGAGCCTGCACCACCTTACTTGGAAGCTGGTTCCAGACTCTAGCCGCCCTGACCGTGAAGTAGCGCCTCCTGATGTCCAACTTAAACCTTCCCTCCGCCAGCTTGTGACCATTGTTCCTGGTCACTCCTTGCGGCGCTCGGGGGAACAGGGACTCCCCCAGCGCCTGCTGATCCCCCCTAACCAGTTTATAACAGGCCACAAGATCCCCCCTCAGCCTTCTCTTTTGAAGGCTGAACAGGTTCAGGTCCCGCAACCTTTCCTCATAGGACCTACCCTGCTGTCCCTTGATCATGCGAGTGGCCCTCCTCTGGACCCTCTCGATGCTGTCCACATCCCTCTTAAAGTGCGGCGCCCAGAACTGGACGCAGTACTCCAGCTGCGGCCTGACCAGTGCCGCATAGAGGGGGAGGATCACCTCCTTGGACCTGCTCGAGATGCATCTGTGGATGCACGACAAGGTGCAGTTGGCCTTCCTAGCCGCCTCCCCACATTGCCGACTCATGTTCATCTTGGAGTCAATAATGACTCCCAGATCCTTTTCCACCTCCGTGCTGACAAGAGGGGAGTTCCCCAGCCTGTATGTATGGTGCCGATTGTTCCTCCCCAGGTGCATCACCTTACACTTGTCTGTGTTAAACCCCATCCTGTTCTCCTCCGCCCATCCTTGTAACCTATCTAGGTCCAACTGTAGCCTGTTGCTCCCCTCTATTGTGCCCACATCCCCCCACATCTTAGTGTCATCAGCAAACTTGAACAGGGTGCTTTGCACCCCCTCATCCAAATCACTGATGAAGATGTTGAACAGGGCGGGCCCAAGGACCGAGCCCTGTGGGACCCCACTTCCCACGTCCTTCCAGGTCGAGAAGGACCCATCCACTACCACCCTCTGGGTGCGACTCTCTAACCAGTTGGCGACCCATTGGACTGTATGGGTGTCTACGCCACAGTCCCCCAGCTTCCTAATGAGAATGGGGTGAGAGACAGTATCAAAAGCCTTCCTGAAGTCTAGGAAAACTATATCCACTGCCACCCCTGCATCCAATGATTTAGTGACCTGGTCGTAAAAGGCCACCAGGTTGGTCTGACAGGACCTGCCGCTGATGAACCCGTGCTGGTTGCCCCTGAGCATGCCGTTCCCTGCTGGCCCCTCCTGGATGTGTGCCAGAATAATTTTCTCGAACAGCTTGCCCAGGATCGAGGTAAGGCTGACTGGCCTGTAGTTCCCCGGGTCCTCTTTCCTCCCCTTTTTGAAGATGGGAACCACGTTGGCCCTCTTCCAGTCCTCCGGCACCTCTCCAGAGCACCACGAGTGTTCATAAAGCCGCACCAGGGGACTTGCAATGACCCCAGCCAGTTCCTTCAGGACTCTAGGATGAAGATCATCCGGGCCAGCTGACTTAAAAATGTCCAGCCCCTCCAATTTAATATAGCAAGTCCTCATAAGAATTGAACCTGAACTTTAAGTTTGATCTTGAAAAATTCTGAAGCTTTTTAAAACTTACTATTATGAAGCCAATACTGAGATGAGCTTACTATTATTCAGGTATAG